CTTCTTTTGTCTTTAGAAAGGCAAAGTACCCTGGCGAAACGCTGCGTTTCAGTTTTTACGAACAAGTGTCAGGGCCGAGAGAAGGGGCTCCTTCGGCCAGCTTATGGCCGTGATTTATCCGGCACAAACAGTTACTAGTGGGAAAATATAGGTAATATAAGACATTCCCAAACCTATATGAGTCTATGAACAAAACCCAAACAAGCCAATATGAGAGGCTCGAAAAATACATAGGTAATGAAAAAGTGTTCATGGTTAGCACAAGATCACACCGACTTTAAGTTGTTCATGTAAATTGGAACTTATTTATTCACAGTAAGTACGAAATTGTCAAATTAATTGGTAACAAAAATTTTGTGTGACAAGTTTGGTGAGTATTATATTGATTTGGCAATGCTAAGGAGAGCTCCGCAACTTCACAACAACGAAACAATTTATTTGAAATGATCACCAAAATCCAAAAACAAAAAAACCAACTCTAGCCAAAAAGAAAGAATCCGCCCAACCAAATTCTAACCTAGACTAGTTAACAATTTGGTGTAGTGCTAGGGTTTGGCCTAAACAACTGCTGTTGATGCTGATACCAATGCTCTAGTCTTTTGTCGAAATCACCATCCTTGTTTCTAGCCGCAAGTAGTTGCTCATATAGCCTGACATGCACAGGTAACTGCATAGAACTAGAATCAACCAGTGGCATTTCATCCGCATACGTGGAAGTCTCCATGGGTGGCAAAAATCCTGGTTCAGAAGAAAACGACTCCCTTGGCTGAACCTGGCTCTCAATATTGGCAGACTGCATGTCGTATTGGGTGAGGTTTTGATCGTTTTGATCGTTTTGATCGTATTGGGTGAGGTTTTGATCGTTTTGATCGTTTTGGTGATAGTTATTGTAGACTGGTCCCGGAGGATTGCCAGACGTTTGATTTTGGAAAGGGTACTGCTGGTGAGGATAATATGTAGGGTTTCCAATGTAGGTGTTCAATATTGTTGGGGTTGGCATGCCACGAGGTCGTTTGTTTGCGGTGGAGGAAGAAGAAGCACCGCTAGATTGACCAACAAGATATTGATCATGCCGATGAACGGGCTGGATTTGTTGGTCTGGAAAAGCTTGAGATGCTACAACATTTGTAGCTGGCTCTGCTCTTTGATCAGATTGTGTAGTGCTCGAGTCATTGTTCGCGCCTTTGGTGTTCTTGTAAATCTTGCACAAAACACAATTATCCAGCTGCAAAGAAAACGTACAAGGGTAAAGTTAATTAAAATCAAGTCATATGCAAAAATAACTCATTAAAATTACAACATAAAAAAAAAAAGTTTATGCACACATGTTTACATTTCCTTACGTACCTGCGTAACACGAGTATTGCTTATTTGATTAGGGGGAGCAGTCTTTGTATCGAGCGTGTATTCATGCATTTTCCATTCTGTCCTCTTGCTATCTTGATGGTTCCCTTGATAAAAATCTAGAGTCCTTTTGGACCCAATTACTCTACCATTACTGTCTTCGATGTCCTGAGCTTTTCCAGTTGCCTTCCAAAATCCTTCGACTGCTGATCGATCTGGCCGTTGTCCTCTCGGGTACTTTCGTTTCCTAGAAGTGAAAAAATACCACTCACTTTCTCTAATTAAAGTGATGCGCCCTAGAAAGAAAAAGAAAAAGTTAAAGTTATCTCACCACAAAAGAAAAAGAATATAAAAAAAAAAAAAATTTAACCTAAAGTGAGCATATAGATGAAGACACAAGAAACTAACCAGTGAGGTCTCTAGGATGATACAAGGAGATGTCAAGGTCAAGAAACCTGTTTTTGGGGATTTCCTTGTTCAAGACCTTTCCCTCTAAGTAGCTTGAAACCAACTCGACATCAGTTGGGGCAAATCGGTAGCCACATGGAAGAGAATTAAAATATGCATCGTTGATTGGATCGTTGATGAACAAATCTACTTGGTCCGGAATCGGATCGTTGATGAACTGATTGTTTTCTTCCATGGTGATTACGCGAATGCGAAGCTCCTAATTTGAGATTACGAAGCCTTTTATAGGAAGATACTTGAAAATTACAGGTCTAAAAAGCCTTGAGCATGGAGAATTGGTGTTTCGGTCCATGTTTATATAGGATTTGGTTTCCTTCAAAACTGCATCTTTTTTTGTTTTTGTTTTGTTTTTTTCTAAGATAACACAAGTATTGCAAGTTATATGGAACGAGGTTTTAGGAGTTTTAATTAGATTATGTTTGCTTAATTTGGAGTGGGTCCATATTATATATATCATGTGTAGATAAATGATAATCCTATGGTGTCAAAACTTATATTTGAATTTATTCGACCAAAAAAAAAAGTATTTTCCACGTAATCCATCTTAACAAAAACAAATTTTTTAAAAAAAATATAAGAAAAATAGAAAGATGGAGCAAGGTTGCAACTTTCTTGGATTACCAAATGTATATTTTATATATGACTCCATGGAACTTGGAAGTTTTGTTTGATATATAATTGCTCCTATTGAATTTCATAGAGTAGGGTTGTGATAAGAATCTTTATTTTTGACAAAAAAGAAAAAGATAAGAATATGTATTTTGGGTGACTTGAGTCAAATATTGGGGTGGCATTGCTGAGCTGGCATTTTGTTATAGCTTTATCGTTAGTAGCAGTTAGTTTGTTAGTTACTTACTTTGGGAACCCACCAGACTGTGAACATTGGCTTTTCCTTTTCTTCTTTCTATTTGGTAATTGCATTGTCGTTTTTATGATAGGATTCATGAGCATGACTAAGTTGACGAATCCAATTTTGTTTTAGTGCTCCTGCTATTTTGAATTTTAGTGTAATTGAGTTTTAATTTAGACGGCATCTGGGACGATTTAAGTGAGCTTTTATTACTATATTTGAAAGTTTTTAAAAAATTGACATTTATGAATTTATGGGCTAAATTTGGACAAAATTTGATAAAAACTCAGGAGAAAGGCTCAAGAAATTTATCTTTAAAATAAAAAAATAAATAAAATAAAATAAAAAGACGTGGCTTAAACATCGTCGTTGTGGTCGGGCCTTTTTTAAAACAAGGCAATAACGCGCTCCAAGTGATGCTGAAGGCTTGTGCAGATTGGTTGGGGTTCTATGGAGCACCTGCTTTGCCCCTATGCGGCTCTCAAGGATTACATGTTATTGTATATATTTCTTAACAAAGTATACTTGATTGCTAAAATTCATTAGGTATTCTAGTCATATTTCTTTATTCAACTTTGTGTTTATACCTTAAATTTTCCACCTAGGCCCTACAAGAACTGATGATGTGGCATTGGCACTCAAGCCACATTTATGGCCCAAGTGACAAATTTCAAGCCCAAGAGCAAGACAAAGATGGTTGAGCTCGGAAGCCAACGACCATGGTACAATGGCCTCAACCCAAAGGCATCATCGGTCGTGAGTTCAGATCATGACAGCCTAAACCTAGAAGTTGGACTTCAAAGCCCAAAATTGTAACCCAATATTCTCGGCCCATGCGGAGAAGCCCATCCCACAAAAGTGAAAGGTCAAAAACTTGATTAGTTATTGAGAAGTGTATTATTTCCTATATTTTTATACCTCTTTTATTTGGTTTTTGTAGGGAAAGTTAATTAAAAAGAGCATTATTACCCTACTTTCCTTATTTTCAGCGATTCTGCGCTCTTGGAAGGATTTCAACTGAAAATTGACTTTTCGAATGAATTTTAGCACAAGGCCAATTGGAGAAGAAAGCTAAGACATTGAAGATCATTGTGTCAAAGTTTCATAATTTTCTGCCAAGCCAAATGCTCCAGATTTGCAAGTCAAGACAGCCTAAGTTGAAATCCCGTCAGAATTGCACTGCTGTGGAAGATTGAAGATTTGAAGACCTTTCCGATTTTTCCTAGTGGCGTGTAATATATGCTTGGAAAGCTTAGAGATAAAGCTACGTTTCTCATATTTTTCCAGAATTTACTAGGAATTGGAACGACCTCAAAACGTGCGTGCAAGATGGCTGACGTGTTTCCAAGTCAAAGAAGGATTCTTTCCTAATTTGTTTCCTTAATTGTTTGGGATTTCGTTTTGCTTTAGGAGAGTTTTTCCAGACCTTTTAAGAGTAGGGTTTAGTTGTTTTACAATATATAAGATCACCCTACCATCTCTTCA